TACTGCCTCCTGGCAGATTTGGTGCTATTCACCCCTTTGGTCCACTGTAATCCTGAACTCCATTTCAAGACAGGAGAGCGCTGTCTTCTCACTCTTCCGACTTTCTAAAATTTTTAAATTGCTGTATCCAAGAAGTTGTAGGATGTCAATAACTGCCTCTGTCGGTAATACACTATTTGAATGGTTTCAATAAAGCATCCTAAATACACTGGCTGGGACCCAGCCGTTGTGTTGTGTTGGTTAGGAGAATTAGCGTAACCATGATATCAACAGAGACCATGGCATAAGAAGGGCAGTGTGATCTCCAAGGAGGGGAACCTACTTCCAACTGGGGGCGTTTGAGATGAGATAACTTGAATTTTTATTTAGAAGTAGTTTTAGTTTTGGTCCTGGGTGTACCACCTCTTGTCTTCAAGATTTTGGGCAAATTAGGTAACTGCTCTGCCCTCTGTTTCCCTATCTCTTTAGAGCCTCAATTTTCCAAATGAGGAAACCTGCTCCAGGTCACATGACTAGTAATTGGTGAAAACCGGGATATAGATCCAGGTCTGGTTCCAAAGTCCGTGCTCTGAGTCACCTTGCTGGACTGGTATATAATAGCTTTCGGAGGACTTTCCCTCTCAGTATTAGAATAAGGGAATGTGAGCTACAGGGAAGGCATGGAAACAGTCTGACGATGGAACAGCCAGAAGGCCGAATGGAAGGTCAGGGCCCAGAGCAGGGGGGCTGACAGGCAGGGAGGAGGAGGAGTTCGCCAGCGGGAACATTTTGGATCCCCGATGAGCCACTTAGCACTTACCTGCACATTGCATTTCTTTTTCATAGAAGCGATTTGGGTAAAACTTAGAGCAGTTGCCAATTAGGTTAACTTCACCCCACTTAAGTGAAAAGACCTTTTGTTTATCTAAACAAAGTGAGGAAACAAACAAACATTTAGAAGTCACAAATGAGAAATCTAAATACTCTCGTAACTTAGTAGACCATCAGGGCTATAAAAGAGTATATATTCTTCAACACACACATACGCTTTTGCGGACAACGCCTTAGCGTATTTAATCATACTCTCCTTGTATCCCCATTTCTGTAATCGTCTTTCTAAAATTGCACGGATAGGCCAAGGGGGTTATTGAACATGTGGTCTAAAGTCACACTCATTAAAAAAGGACTGGTACCCTGAGATGAATGGGAGAAAATCTTTCGCCTTTGGTTTCTGCGTTCAGTCAGGCAGTGGACAGGAATCAGAGATGGGATCTTCTCACATAAATACCTCCCATCTTCTTACGATCTCTATTTCCTTTAAAGTGCTTGTTAGAGTGAAAATAACTTTTTAGTATAAGAAGTTTGAATAAAGAAAATACATATGAAGTTATCAATGTCTGTGTCTGGGAGGAAATCCATTTCCTAAGTGATGTGAAGTGATTCGAAGGGGAGTTGGGATTTTCTTTCTATTTAAGTACAAGTTTCGGGACTTGAACATCTTTGATCCAAGGCAAGAGAAGGGCCAGGTACTGCTCACAGATCAGGGAAGTTGAGGAAAACAAGAATACAGGGTGAGATGTCTCACGGATAAGGAGGGAATCTTTGCCCCCTCTCCCCTCCTCCTTTTCCCCAGATCTCAGCGATCTTTATGCTACAGTTTCTCATTCCGTGTCAGCTTCCTGGCCACCCGAAGCTCCAGGAGGACAGGGGGTAGGCCTGACTCATTCTTCACCAGCACCCGGAATCATGCCAGCACAGAGTAGCTGCTTAATAAATATTTACATAATTAATTAATGCATGAACTCACAGTAATTCGATTATATGCTAAGCACCTGATGCCAAATGACTCCTCCTCTCAATTAATCTATGAAGTACCTAGGGACAGAGACCTCTGGTTTTTCCTGCGAGGACACCCCCGCAGACGCTAGCACTGTAGTGCTCACGTAGTAGTTAATTGTAGAATAGTGTTCTACTCTCCTGAGAAGCAGAGGGAGATAAAAATCTACCGAAGGATATGGCAAATCAGGAAGGAGTGTCTTTTTTTTCCTTCAAGCTTTACTTCAAGTTGGTCTCGGGATGGCTGCCTTTCTCAGAACAAGGCCTTTTTTAAACTTAATAATTTATCACTTTCTCTAACTCAGGAAAAGTCTTTGAAAACTGCAAGGAATTTTTAATGCCTCAGGAGTTAGCTTCCTCCTCTGCACTCTTGTTTTGTACGATTCTTAAGGTATTTTGTCACATTCTGCTGTCTGATGGTGTCATTCTTGTCTGACGGCTCCTCTGTATGGTAAGTGTCTCGACCTGTAATCGAACCCAGGTGGAGGCAGCAAAAGCACAGAATTTTTACCTCTCGACTTCAAGGTGGCCGGTGAGTGCGCTGTGAGCTGCCCTTCATCTTTCAACCTGGCAACCTCTGTTTCTCTTTGTCTGTTGACTGGGTCCGTATTTTTTACCAGTGAAATCCTAGCACTTTAGCATTACCACTTTGCACATATAGTAAATGCTCAATAAATGTGTTAAGCCATATTTGACTAATATATTAATCACTGCATGAGAATCTATCTAACTACCAGTTTACGGAGAGTACATGGAATCGAAGAGCGTGTCAGATGCCAGGTCAAGGATACGATCAGCCAACTTCAAGGTGTGGAAATTCTAAAATAAGAATTATTCAGTTTCTTTAATGAATACATTTTAAATAAAAGGAAGGGGTAACTGTTCTACATTAAAAGAGATTTAAGAAAAAAAGCCACCAAGTGCAATGCGTAGACCTTGTTTGGATCTTGATTCAAATAATCTGACTGTAAAAATATTTTCATAAATAGATGGGAAATATTAAACACGGACTGGTTATTAGATCACAGCAAGGAATCAGTTTTGTTTTGTTGGGTATGAAATGGTGTCGTATCCTTATCTGGTAAAGGCATACCCTGGAGTACCCACGTGTGGAATGACACGATGTCTGGGATATGATTTAATATGCTCCAGGAAAGATGTGTGGGGAACACGTTGCACAGCTCCTGACTGTCCCTTCAGCGCCCTGGCTCTGCCCTGACAGCCCCACCTGTGGGGACTGCCTCCACAGGAGACCCCTGGCCTCTGGCTTCCAGCTGGTTCCGGACAAAGAGGATCCCGGCAGGAGGGAGGATAATGAGATTGGGCCGGCTATACTCTAGGTCTTTGCTTCTCTCTAGGTGGCCTGATCTATCTGACACCCTCTCCTTCTGGTAACTTCTCCTTCCCTTCTGCCTTCAAATCTAGTTGCGACAGCTCTGGTACTGCTAGTCCTGGGCACCTGCGTAGCCCTTGTGGTTCCCCGACTCCCACTCACATCTTTGTAATTAACCCCTTTATAGGTAAACCTCCCCGATTGCCCCATTGAGACCCTGGTTGATACAGGGAGGTAAAAGAAGAATGGCAGAATGTTGATAATTGTGGAAACTGGCTGATGAATGAGTAAGGGTGTGCTATACTCTAATCTCTGCTTTTCTGTATACTTATAAATGTACATAATGAAACGGTTTTTTTTAAAAAAAGAACAAATATAAGGACACAATAACTGGATGAATTGTTTCCTAATAAAATTTAGTATTTTATAAGTTGGGTATTCAAGTGAACTACAAATCTAGGTCAGTTTCAACATATTAATATATTTTATACTTTTCAATGTGGCAATTATAAAGAATGCGTTGGAGTGTGAGTCTAGAAGACCAGCGTAGTGAAGTTACTTAGGGTTTCTGCTAACAAAGAGTCTAAGCTATCAAAGGGAAGCTACGTTTCAAGGTTAAATCTTCAAGATGAAGGGGAAGTGTTGGGTAGTTTAATTCTAATCTAATCTCTAATTCAGCAGGTCTTTCTAATAATTTGTTCCTAAGTGTCCACATCTCTTATTCGTGTCAAGTGTTCACCTCAAGTCTTCTTAGACGTTCAGAGAATGAATTCCTTATGTTCTCTTTCTCTTTGTGGGCTGGCTGGGGCCCAGGGACTGGGGAAGGAGAGAGGAGGGAAAGAGCGGGAGGGTTGTGAGAATCAGTGATTCAACACCTACCAAGGCTCTCCCTTCCAGACCTCTTTATCTTTCATCCACATCTCCCCCAACCGATCCAAAGAGTCCCTGCTGTATGTCTGCTGTCTACATATTTTTTCCTGGTGGATGGCTACCCCGAAACGTTTGCTTCAGGATCACGGAGAGAGCGCATGCATCCATCGAAGGCCTGGGTGCGGACTGGCTACATAATTTGCAGGATCCGGTGAAAAATGGAAATGGGGGGTGAGGCCCTTTCAAAAATTATTGAAAGTTTCATGTTGGTGACAGTAGAGCATGGGGCCCTTGTGCACGTGGGGTGCCGGGCAACTGCACAGGTCACAGATCCATGAAGCCAGCCCTGGCTGCACACCCACTTTTCTAGACGCGATGCTGTGTTCCTCTCTGAGTCCTAGGACATTAGCGCCCACGCATGTCTACCCCATCCATGTTCAGCCCCTGGATTCTGATTAACGAGTTATAAAACATACCTTTTCCTCGGCCCCAGCCCGAAACGATGCATCTGTCATTAGGTTGGAACAGATATGGAGACCAGGGGACGCAGGCGGGAGTGGACTTAGGTAGCTTACAGACTTTCGGGTTTGGGTAGCCTTTCATTTCTATCAAAGCTATGTCATTTTGGTAGGTGCTTGCATTGTATTTTTCGTGGATAATAATTCTATTCGCCAATTCGACTTTTATCTCACGATTAGGTCTTATCCAGTCTAATAATGATGTCCAGATTTGGTAACGGTGCGTTTTACTGACTCTATAGCAAAAAAAAAAAAAAAAAAGGAGGAGGGGGAAATAAAATATATTGAGAAAAAAAGGTAAGTATAGAATTCTGACACTTCATCTTTACATCCTCCCTTTTAGAGGACATTTTTCATTTTCCCAGATTTTTAAAATTCTTGCTGTCATGAAGCAGTGAGGTTAAGTGGACTTAGCGCAGATTTAGGTCAGTGGTGAGTGGTAAAGAGAGGAATAATCCACCACCTGCTCAATATCAGGAACATAAAGAACTCACTAACAACCAGAGCTGCCCCAGAGTGCAGTGAGTTTGCTGCCTTAGGAGTGTGCGAGCCATCACGCAAGTGTTAAGCAGAGGCCAGACGCCATCTTGCCAGAAATACAGTCGAGGAACTGGGGAGTTGGACCATATACTCTCGTTACTCTGCCAACCCCAGAGGTTCTCAGGGCAAAGACCACGCAGACCTCATCCTGACCCTTAAGACTGATTTCATGCTATCACTGCACTTTATTTATTTGTTCACATGCCTTTCTTCCCGCCAGCCTGTGCTGCTTGAAGTCAGAGCTGGGATCTAGTTCGTCTCTGCAGCCCTGAAGCCTCGTATTGCACATGGAACATAGTAGTTGCTTTGAAGTCCTGTTGAAATAGTGAATGTGCTAAATATTGCCTGTTTGTATGTCTCACTCCATTTTCATACCAATCTTCAACTCATGGTTTCAAGCAAATTGGGCATCTACCACCATCTTCCCAGGGAACAATATAGAGTCACTTTGGTGAACTATCATAGCTCAGGTTTTGTTCGGTGGTTTGTTCTGAATAACAATGCTAAATAAAAACCTCAGAGTCTAGCGTTTCCAAACAATTAAGTATTTCATAAAATGGATTTTCGTTAAGCAATAAAACTTAAACAATTTAATGGAAATCTTTAAAGAATGAACTATCTGCATATTTTCTGCTTTCTCAACCATAATAAACTGAACAGATCTTATCCTTATATAAGGATGACTTAGGTAATCACCTTACAGTTAAACGGTGATGCCCTAGAAGATAATGAGCTGTTCAGGATACTTTTACGAACAGTGTTCCAAGAATTCTGTCATTCATATTAATTTCGGTTATTTTTCTGGATAAGAGGTCCTGAATATTGCTGAAAGGTAATAAACCTGAATAAACTCTGTTTATTCATTCAAATTTATTCAACAAAGTTAGTGTGAACCTGTCGTCTATCCCAGGCACTGTGTTAGGCACAGGGACGAACGTGCTATCTATCCCAGGCACTGCGTTAGGCACAGGGATGGACCTGCCGTCCATCCCAGGCACTGCGTTAGGCACAGGGATGAACCCGCCGTCTATCCCAGGCACTGTGTTAGGCACCGGGATCAACGTGCTATCAATCCCAGGCACTGTGTTAGGCCGTGGGTGCAGTGGTGAACAAAAGCTGAAAAAGTTCCTGCTCTCATGGAGCTCAGGGTCTAGGGAAAGATGCGGCATTGAATGGGTGATCACACTGATGAAGACACGTACTCTACTGTGAAAAGTGAGAGAAATGAACAGTCTGTGGGCTTTTAAGAACTTATCAAGAGGGCTTTGACTCAGAGGAGTCAGGGAAGGTTCTCTGAGGAAGTAAAGATTGAGCTGAGATCTGAATAAAGGGCAGCACTACCAGGGAACAAGGGTAAGGAAGGTCATTCCAGGCAGGGGAAACAATGCAGGTCCCTGGGAAGGGACGAAGGTCCCTTTGCAGCAGTAGCAAATGCACTGGAGTAGCTGAGACAAGCCCGGGGGGTGGAGAAGAGAGCAGGAGGAGGCGCTGTGGGGCAAGAGGAGACTGGCAAGTGTACGTAGGGTCAGGTGACGGGGGCTAATGGGCCAGGTCAACGTTTTGTGAACAAAACGTTTATCCTAAGAGGAATGCCGAGCCACTGAATTTTAAGTTGTAAGTGATCCAAAGTGGGTATGGAACCATTACTCTTGCTGCACGGCAGAGAAGAGAGAGATGGGGCAGAGTGGAGAACAACATGCAAGCAGCACCGACCCACTGCCCCACCATGCAAAGGAGCCAAGCCCAGTACCCCGGCCCCTATGGGTTGATCTGCCCTCGCCAGTGGGATCAGCAGCATGGTCTGTGGAGAACATAGTATTTTCTGGGCGATTGGCCTCTGGAGTTTGGTCATGAATACCAGAGGATATTTAGCCATTAATAGAGTGGAACATCAATGGCTTTTCTCAGATATGCATTTTGTTTGTTTGTTTGTTTTTTAGAGACAGAGTCTTGCTGCATTGCCCAGGCTAGAGTGCAGTGGCGCAATCAGGGCTCGCTGTAGCTTTGAACTTCTGGCCTCGAGGATCCTCCTGCCTCAGCCTCCCCAGTCATTGGGGCAACAGGCCACACCACCACACCTGGCTAATTTTTAAACTTGTTTTTAGAGATGGGGTCTTGCTATGTTGCCCAGGCTGACTGGGAACTCTTGGCCTCAAGTGATCTCAGATATGCTTTTGCTTATCGTCTGCCACAATCTCTATTGCTCATTTTCACTGTTTCAGGAAATCTAAAATGTATTGAAGACATTTTTTACCTGACACAATGTGCAGCAGTGAGAATCCAACAGCCACCGATATAAATTCCCCCACAGGAGATTCCGTCAGCTTCCTTAATTCCCACCTGCCATGGGAAGTCTTCCTGTAGAAAACATTTATGTGGTCACTGCCATTCTAACAGAAAGTGATGCAAACAGCCCTAAGATATATGCATTGTAAGACTCCCAGCCTCTTGCAATCACATCAGCCCTCCTTTTCTTCCCCAGCTCTGGCTGTTCCGGGGAAGGCGCGCTGCGGTTTTTCATGCAGGTTTACCACGTGGTGAGCAGGCCTTCCTCCCACCACTCGTTTCCTTCGAGCGTGGACGCTGTTCTTAACTCCACAGGATAGCTTAGGTAATAATGACTTTATCCGTTTTCTTTCTTCAAGAAAGGAAGAGACCGTATCATTATTATTTTGAACCCATTACCCTGTGGACAGACACTTGTTGATTATCCATGCCACAAAAACAGCAGAGTCACAGCTAATATAAAACAGGCTGGATTCATTGGTCAGTTATTCTGAATGCTAAACTGTGCTATTCACCTTGTTCAAAAATTCTGGCTTAATACTAGCATTGGCTTGATTCTCTGAAGTTCTGCCTAAAGGTGGACTAGTGACAGAAATGGGCTGGCCGAGGGGTTGGACAGGTACCAGCCCCTCGCAGACGGGAGATGCCGCACAGCAGGCATTGCTGCGGTGACAGCTCAGGAGAGAAGCACGTTCTGAAGTCATCAACGTGGGGAACTGTGTTGTCTCACTCTCATAGTTTTTACTTTCTAGAAGCTGTTTAGATGGAACTCTCTTCAATAATATTAATATTAGCATTAATGATATTAATACTGAGTACTTTCTATGTGTCAGGCCCCATACTAAGCACTTTGTATATAATTTATCTCATTTAATCATCATTTTAACCCTGCGAGGTGATGGGCCAGGCACCCCTGGACAAGCAGATCGGCAGGCAGGGGGATGTTTTTTAGCCATTTGACATGTGACAATGTTTCTTTCCTCTGTCTCTGAGCGTGCAGACGTGGCTCCTTTGTCACTGAGAAAACACAGTACAGCAGGACTTAAGACATGAATTTGCAGGAGAATTCATGACAATGGAAGAAAGTAAAAGTATAAGATGCTCCCTTTATTTTCTATATCTTACCATGTCGTGAAAATTTTTGTAAACTTGCTTATTAACCCCAAATGAGAAAGGAAAATTTATATCACTGTTAATCATTTTAGAAATACCAAAATAAGATAGGCCCCCGAAAGAGAGAAGTTGTGAATGAACGTGCATAGAAGATTTTTTTTTTCGTCTCACCCATCCTAAGAACTGGGTTAGGGGAAGAGTGTGACGGTAAGTCTTAAGTTTTTGCTTAGACCTTTCAAAGAAGAGACACCTCACTGACGACTGTGAAACCGGCGTGGGTAGTATCTGAAAATTAATGTTACCTCGAGTAGAACATAAAGGGCCTTTGTTGAAAATCCCCTTTGACTAATATCTGTAGCTTGGAGATCTAAATCTTTCAGCTCATTGCCTGATTAAAAAATATTAATTAATTTTGAGGACTGACAATTAGAAGGGAGTCTTACATGAACTTCACTTTAAAACCCTCCCGAAACAGGGAGCTTTTGTATTCCCGGTGCGTATCTGAGGGTAAGTTACTCACCTAAGGTTGCAGAGCTAGTACATGGCTGAGTCAGGATTTAACGCAGGATGTCTGACTCCAAATCCCTAATCAACTACTATCTTCCCAGCAACTTAATACTTTAATTTAATTTGCCTCTTAGTGCACAACTAGCCAGGGCACGGGTTTTCAAAGGTTTTCTGTTATCATGATTTAAAACATTACAAAATAACAGATTAATTCAGTTAACGTCTATTATTTTTCTATTTCAAAAATGTGCGTCATAAGTCATGCCTGAAACATGGTTGTTCTGACAAAACTGATCTGACAAAGTTCATATCTGAAAGTTTACATATTTTAAGAAGAGTTCTGCCATGGGTCAAAAAAAGGGGAAAAAGAAAAAGAGAAAAAGTTTACATAGGACAAGAGCATTGTTTTCACTTCAAAACTGGCCATATAAATGAACTCGGTTTTAAAAACAGTTCTCAAGAATCATTTATGCGGTTTTTCCTAAAAGTGATAGGAAAAGGAGAAGAATAACGTTATGTTTGCAATTTAAATTGATACCAAAGTTAATTGTTGCTTGAATCAATTAGATATACATACATGCATATACACAAATCATGTTAAAATTTCTGTCTAAACTAGTGAAACACTAATAAAAAAGTATAATGTTAACTTACCTGCATTCATATCAGCAGTCAAAATTTCTGTTTCTTCTATGATAAAACAAAAAGTTCCAATGTTTAAAGTTGTATTTACAGAGAAAATTAAATTATTAAAATCATTTAAACTTAGATAATGATTTTCTGCCTTAAAATTTGTGTTCCCTTTAAAAGGACTGTACAAAATCCCCAAAGCATGTCATCTTATTTTCCTTCTGTAGTTAGGTAATTGTAAAGGCTCAAGGGGAACTCTACAGAAATTCTTTCTGGCACAAACTGGAGGTGTCTCTTGGTGTAAGTGAGTGGTGAGACTCTTGGTGCCACAGTTTTCTGTATTTAGAGCAGGCAAAATGCACAGGTCAGAGAGGAAAAGCTTCTTCCTCAACTCTGCATTCACAAGGTCTTCCCATGGGCAGGGAGCCCTCACCAACACTGACCAGTAGAGTGACATTTAAAAGGCTCCTCTCGTTTGGTACCGAATAAGACACTTCTTACGGGTTCATGCAAACAAAGATATTTCACTGGTTTCAGTATTAGGTATGGTTAGCATTAGGCAGCCGGGATGCAGAAGTCATAAGAAAAAAAGATTCTTTTTCCCCTTAGACTTTTTCTTGAAATTATACAAGACGTTTTCATCTTCACTCTGCCATCCTAGACAGGATCATAATTTCCTTGACCTGGGGATGTGAAGGCGGATTCCCACCAACACGTCGCTCTGCCTTGGATGAAGATGTGGCTGCGATGTCATAGTCCAGACAGGGGTGGGAACCTTTTCATGTTGGAAGGCCACCACGTTAATTTAGCTGTAATCAAACAAGGCCACATTCGAGAAACTTCAATTAGATAGACTTAAAAACATACATAATTTTGTAAAAGTCTAACTACTATGTACTTAATAATTTCAAAAAAAAATGAAAAATATTTGTTAGTTTTAAAGTTAACTAACCTTTTAATGACTTTGTTGTGTCTGCTTTTTGTTGGAAAGCATTTGAATATTTGGTTGCAACATGGAGGTCCACAGTTTCAGTTGGTCCTCTAGATGCGTATCAGTCATTTGTGACCTTAAGGGTGTCTTGATTTGGGCTAGGTAGGAGAATGTAGATTTGCAGCAGTAAGTGGTAGAAAAGCAAGAAAGCATTTTTCCAGCATGTTGCTGAAGGCGTGGGTATTCTATTGCATTTTTCCGTATTTCAATTGGATCTTTCTTAGCATCAATGATTTTAAAATGTCATCTACTGAGAGCTCAATCAATTCCATCTGTAGTTCTTTAGGTGCCTCGGTGATACCAACTAGGTGAAGCTGAAATGCTAATTTGATAGTGACGTCATGATTCGCAAAGTCTGTGAACCTTTCATTATGTTCTCTAGTTAATAGGTCTATAACAGCTGTGTATTCTTCAAATGATTCACATACATCGTCCTGCTTATCAATGACCTTTGCTAACTGGGGAAAATATTCATCTGAAATTTCCTCTTGAAAAAGATGTGTTTTGAAAAAAGGTAGCCTTTTTTGAAATGTTTGGAGTTTTTGCCACATGTCATGTATAGACTTAGTTTTACCTTGCAAAGGAATATTCAAGTTGTTTTGATTTGACATCACACAGAAATGCTGCATCCCTATAGAAACCTTCTGTCAATAATTCACATTGCTGATTCTGTTCTTCATAAAATTTAACTATCTGTTTTTGCAGAGATAAAATTTTGGCTAACACCTGTCTCTGTGATAGCCAACACACTTTAGAATGATACAGCAAGTCTACATTGAATACCTCATCATTCAACGCTAGCATGTTACAAAACTAACAATGCCATGTTGCATTTGCATGAATATAGTTAGCATTAAGTATAACTTGTTGCAAAGTGTCATTTAAAATAGTAGCTTTAGCACAGAGATTTTGCTGGTGCAAGATACAATGAAAAGAAATGAGAGCATCTGCATCTGTTAATACTTTTTTTTATCTGTGCGAATAAACCCTTCATGTTTTCCTGTCATGGAAGGTGCACCGTCTGTACATACACTCACTAAATTTACCAAATGTTGTCCAACTTCATGACATTTATCTTGAAAGTTGTTGAAGATATCTATTCCCTGAGTTCTGTTTGCAAGAGTGCCCAAAGCAAGTAACTCTTCATAGCAAAGAAAATCTTCTGTTATGATCCAAATAAAGTATAAAACCTTCACCAAATTAGTAGTATCAGTTGATTCATCCAAAGTGATTGAATCCTATATATTTTCCTTTTGAAGTATTGCATGAAGTTGTTAAGTTGAAGGCTAATTCAGGCTGCCAATCAGTTATGGTTCTGCTTGAAAGAGGCAGTTGTTTGTATTTTGAAACATTATTGGCGTCTAACCATCCTACAACTTCAGCAATGTGTTCTTTCAAATTTCTACATTACTGAATGGCTTCCTTTTTTACCTGAGTATATAAGCTACTTTATAAGTTGCTCTAGTGGCATTATTTCCAGGTCTCATCGCTGCTTGAAAGAATTGTCTTTGCTTTTGCTTTTCATCTTTTAATTTCTGCAATACAACCTTTTGTGCCTCTCCCTCTAATTTAAAATATCTGTGGTCCTTATGAGTGTTATAAGCTGATGACCATTGAATTTCTTTAATGCTGATATTGCAGTATCACAAAGCAAGCCAATCATCTTATCTTTAGCAGAAACAAGATAATATTGCAATTCCCAATCCTCATTAAAAAAATCTGTTTTCTTCCTTCAGCGTTCTCTTGGTCTCTTTGACACAATGGGCTGTTAAGCAGACAGAATTAAAAAATACTGTCGAGCTGTGCAGCTATTCACAAATTCCACTTCAAACAGAAACACAGTCATGGTTGTCAAAAGCTGATAACCGGGGTGCACTCGACCCCCATAAACTCTCAACAATCAGCCTCGTGCGGTACCGACACCAGTCAGGTGGGGGGAGTTAGAACCAAATTATGAGCATAGCAGCTGTCACTTTAGCCCCTATGGCTCACTAATGCTCTAAGTGTGCCAGTCAATCTGGAAGGATTGTATCCCTGCAACTTATTTTATCCTTTGGTATTTTAAATATGTTCATTTTAAAAATAAAAATATAAAAGATGAACAAAAATGTATTGATAAAAATAAAAAGATTTGTTCTGTAAAATTTGGGTTCAGTCAAAAGGCTGCACTTAAGGACCTAGAAGGCCACAGGTTCCCCACCCCAGTCCAGGAGGGCAATGTTACTCTGCTGCAATCCCGTGTCCTGTCCCTGGATTTCCCGAGTTCTCTTTGGGGCCAGCATACATGTCTGTTATGCCACCCCCCCTAAGTTGTTTTCTGGGGAGAGAGAGGCTCTCAGAAGCATTCACAAAAACACCCTCACGAATCAGAGAAGACTCAAATATTCACATTAAATGCTCAGCAAAGGAACATGGGGAAAGTCCAGTGTAGCTGAGGTGTACCAGGTATAAGAAGAGCAGCACAGTCTGCGGCCACCCCACCCTGACCACGCCGGATCCCGTCTGCCCTCGGAAGCTAAGCAGGGTCGGGCCCGGTCGGTACTTGGATGGAAGAATGGCAGCACAAAGCTTCAAAAGCACAAACCATAAGAAAAACAATTGGCAACTTTCATTATATAAAAATTAGGGATTTCTATTCAATAGATATCACCATGGATAGAGTTAAAAGATGGATGACAAGAGGAAAGAAGGTATTTGTATTGTCCAAAACTGACAATAGATTAGTATCTAGGCTGTAAAAGGAACCCTTGCAAATCAATGAGAAAGAAGATTTCAATGAAAGAAGTATGAAATTAAGCAAAGGATGTGAACTGGTGAAAGAACAGAGGAAAGAAAAAGAAGAGAAAACTCAAAAAGCTAGTATGCACATGAAGAGAAACCCAAAATCATTGGTCATTACGAACATTCTAGTTAATAAAGAATGCCATCCCTCGACAGTATGAGACTAGCAAACTAGCGAGCTGGACGATGCTGGGTTGAGGAGACCCCTCCGGCATATGGCGGCACTGAGGATTGGTACGTGACAGCTCTGCCAAGAACATACAGGCACTAGCAGTCAAATTAAGGAGTTGTACACCCCAAGACTCAACATTCCTTGCTGCTATGGTTTGAATGCACCCCCCAAAGTTCATGTGTTGGAAACTTAATCCCCCGTGCAACAGCGTTGGCGGGTGGAGCCTAAGAAGAGGTGATTAGATCATGAGGCCTCCGCCCTCGTGAATGGATTAAGGAAGTTCTCTTGGGAGTAGGTTAGATGTAGCAGGGGTGAGCTTGTTATAACAAGTGAGTTCATCCCCCTCTTGCTCTCTCTGACTCTCCTGCCCTTCCACCCCCTGCCGTGGCATGACACAGTAAGAAGGCCCTGACCAGACGTGGGCCCCCTCAGCCTTGGACTCCCCAGCCTCCACAACCATAAGAAATTTCGTTTCTTTATAATTACCCAGTCTGTGGTATTCTGTTACAGCAATACAAAATGGACTGAGACACTTGCCCAGCTGGATGTCTCAAGGAAATCCTCCCACTCATCCGTAAGGAGAGGAAGCTATCACACTGCGGCTGTGGGTTTAGAGTGCATTGCTGATAAAATGGAAAGGAAATTGTGAAAGATGAAAAGAGCAGAGTATTCTACGCAGCAGTTAGAAGCAACAGATGAGATGGACACAGAGCAACACGGACAGATCTTTAAAATGTAATCCTTTGTGAAAAGTAAACATGAGACCTACAATACTATGTAAATGAAAAACGTATGCTCACAAGACAATACACATTAGATAAGAATGCATACAAACAGAAAGGCGTATACATTAAACCATTTTAAAATGGCTGTCTGTGGGGGAGGTAATGGAAGTGAGGTCTCGGGATAAAGAGGAATAAGTAGGTAAAAAAGAGAGGGGCGGTGCCTGGGCTGATGATGGTCATGTGTAATGAGCTGAGGTGTATCACTAACTCCTGCCTTCACCCCTGAGCTCCAACAGCAGGGAGGGAGGAGGAAGGAAAAGGGGGGCAGAGGGAAGGAAAAAGGAATAAAGAAGAGAGAGGAGGGAAGAAAAGAACAGCAGCTTCAGAGGGCAAAATGGCAAGTGAGAGAGAATACAACAAAATCATCAAGACTAGACATTTAGAGCAGGGTGATCTTGAGCTCGTAGGTCCCCCAGGAATCCGAAGAAACCCTGAGGAGGACCGTGAACTTCCGGCATTATGTGGGCCGGGGACTTGAGTCATTTTATATAAATATTTAAGAAAAGTTACTTATGACGAGACCTGTTAACAAAAAAACAAGAAACAAACAAAAATCCCAAACCAACCAACCAACCAACCAACCAAACCAAACCAAACAAACAAAAGCAAAAAAGAAAAGAGTGGCCCCAAAGAGTTGGAGGATTTGGGGACAGCTGTCTGATATAAGTAAATAAGAAAACATCTGTCATAAAAAGATGCTATCTTTCCTCTGGTGGCAATTTCTTCAGGAGCTGCCTTGGTTTTGAGGGAAAATGAAAGGAAAAGGAGAAAGGTATTCGGCAAAGGTGAAATGTGCAGGGAAGGGCTAACGTGGGTGATGTTTTGGTCAGCAGGCTGTGCACGGGGTGTGTGTGAATAGAAGTTTGTCACACTGAAGAAAGGTCTCTATGCCTAAACTGTGCTAAGGCTGGGTTATTCCTAACACACAGTCATACCGTGCTCAGGAAATAGTAAACATTAAAATAGAAGACAATAAAACCTTAGTTTTGTTTCAATTTTTCAATATCCCAAGATGTTAATAAAATTTTTACCTTGAGTCGCAGGTGCAAAGCCTGAAAAAAAAAAACAAGACCAAACATTTACCACAGCAAAGGATAATTTTTAACTGAGAAAAAATATATACCATATCAATATATTAATACTATATATATATATCATAAAACCATAGCACCTTATTTTTGTTTTCAATTCTGTAATACAAATTTTCTATTATAAAAATAGGTGGCATGCCCCTGTAATCCCAGTTACTTGGGAGGCTGAGGCAGGAGGATCGCTTGAGCCCAGGAGTTCAAAGCCAGCCTGAGCAATACAGTAAAATTCCCATCTCAAAAAATTAGATTTACGTTGTATTGCAGTATGCCTGGCTCCTAAAAACAAAACAAAAAACTGACTATAGCAAAGAGATTATTTTCATTTAAATAAAATATACAAACATCATTAATATTTCAGAAATGGTGTAACAACTTAAATTAATAGTTACAAAAAGATAAAAGGAAACCACGGTATGCCATCTTACTTTGATTTCGCTTGAACTCAGGAGTTCGAGACAAGCTCTGAGCAAGAGCAAGATCCCATCTCTACTAAAAATAGAAAAATTAGCCGGGCATGGTGGCGTGCACCTGTAGTCCCAGCTACTTGGGAGGCTGAGGCAAGAGGATCGCTTGAGCCCAGGTCTTTGAGGTTGCTGTGAGCTAGGCAGACACCACTGCACTCTAGCCAGGGTGACATCTGTCTCAGAAAAAAAAAAGGAAAGACATGGCAAAACTCATCAAGAGCTATTGCCTAAAATATAAACCTTCCTTCTAATCAAGTCTTTTCTATTTTTTTATTTTATTTATTTATTTTTTCTAGGATAGAGTCTCACTCTGTTGCCCTGAGTAGAGTGCCAGTTGGCTGGTCTCCAACTCCTGAGCTCAAGTGATCCTCCCACCTCAGCCTCCCAGAGTGCTAGTATTACAGGTCCGGCCTAATCAAGTCTTGTAAACGCAGAATAAGGAACATCTGATAGGCAAATGATCTAGTTTCTATAAAGAAAAAATAAACAGCATGAAAAAAAACTGGGGTAGGGAGGTGGGGGAGGTAAATCTTAAAGAATAAAAGAGACTTTAAAAACTTAATAACCAAACACAACATTCAGATTATTTTAGATCCTGATTTGAACGTATTAACTCAAAAAAGACATTTTGGGGATAGTTGGGGAAATTTGAACGTGGTGTTATTAAATGATATTGGGGAATTATTTTTATTTTAGGTATACTAATGGGAGAGTGGATTTTATATATAGTGTTTTTTTATCATTAGACATGTGTATGGGTGAAGTAACATCTGAAATTTGCTTTAAAACACTCCAACAAACACACAAACAAACAAAGCTGGAAGGGAGAAGAACAAGACTGGTGGGTACATAGGGGTTCGTTCTAATAGTCTGGTTTTTTGTGTGTATATGACAACTTCTTTTAACAAAAAGTCCTGAAATAAGTAGATATTTAGTAAATAAAAATAGGAAGAGATAAAGATTGCATAGTTTTTCAAATGCCCACTCAGTAGTATTCTTACTGCTATAGCCACCTGTGGTCCCTTAAGCTTGCACTCTACCTAAAGGAAAGCTTCAGAATCCTTGAGTTCAAAAATGGAAAAACGTCACCCCAAACGTTAAATTACCTTCGCAGTTAACTTCATCGTCTCCTGTTATGCAGTCCACCTCGCCGTTGCATTTGTATTGGCTTGGAATACAAACACCCGATTTACACAGGAAACTGTCGCCTCGGCAACCTGTGCACACATAAGTAGGAGAGGTTTTTTCCATTTCTTAAAATTGAATGAGGTGCAATCTGAAATTCAATGGCAGAGTTGATTTTGCTTTTTTCCTCAGGAAAATGGATTTGGGGGCTCTCAAGCCTGGATTCACATCTACCTTTACAGCACAGCTCATCACTTTGGTCTCCACAGTCATTGACACCATCGCAGGCCTTCGTCTGAGAAATGTATTTCCCATTTACACACTGAAAGGACTCATCTGTTGGTAATTCTGTAAAGCAGGAATTAACCTTATGAAATTTATTTATGCAGTTGTGGCACGACATCCTTATCACATTTTTGGGATAATGGAATCATTAAGATAAAGTGAGACTTCAAAAAAATGATATAAAATGAATTGGTAGTGTCAACATAGTATATGTGATTAACAAGGAAAATAAATGCCCCAAAGCTGGCCTATGGAGGGCCTGTCATTTTCATCTCTGAAAATCAGTTTCGATCGCGGAAATCTGAGGGGGCGGATCTGGAATGAGGAATTCTTGCTGGCCTTGGCAAACGCCGGCTCTCACCCATTCCTTTCATGCCACCACACTAAGCCCCACACCCACTTCCCAGATGGTATATTTTTTTTTCTTAGCACTGAAAAGAGACGGCTATGGCTTTGGTCTTTGAAACCATACATGTGGCTAAAATATTCCAATGTCAGGACGGAGGGGGAAAGTGGCAATGACTACCAGGAAACTTAGCCACTGATGTGATCACTTAAAGGTTTTAAAGAAATGTATTCTATATGTGCTGGAACTCTAAAAGGAGACACTGAGGTTTCTTCTCATGCTTGATTGGCTTGTGTTTGCCATAATAACTTTAATCTGGATGTTCAAACAAAGCAAAGCGGAGTCGGGCAACTTTGCTTCCTCTGTAGGAACCTGGGTAGAAGAATATTTGAATGGCAAAAAGATAAAATAGGGGAAAAGCACCAATTTAGGCTCTAAAGCCCCAAACATGACAGAGTCCATATCACGGCCTCTGTGACTGGAACCTGGGTATCAGTCGTTTGCTTACTCTGGGGCTTGGTGTGAGATAACTAACCTCGAAGGAAGGGAAAGTGACGGGCAAGTTCTCCACCAACCTGCGTTCTCTGTGTAACACACCACACCTGCTAACCCCTGGTAGCCCTTAGCTCTTCTCTTGGTAAAGGTACATTCAGCCAAACTGGTCTCGTATCCCCGACAGTGCACATGCAGACATTCAGTGGAATTTAAATAAGTTTCTTCAGGAAAAGTAAACCTTCTTTGAATATCAAGGGCACCTCTGGAAATAGAATAAATGAAACGTGATGGTAGAATAATTAGGACTTTGCATGTCCAACCTTACTGTAGCGGGTAAGGGACTAGAGCAATTTCCTCTCGTTCTCTACACGTGAGTTACAGACTGGGCGACATACGTAAATTCTCTGAGCCTCAATATCTTCACCTATAAAAAGGAATATAACTACCTCACTGGGTTTTGTAAAGATTAACTAAAATAATCAATTTAAACTAGACAGGGTTCACAATGGCAAACATTCAGCAAATATTGTTTTCCTCTTCCTTGTTTTTTATTAAGGAGGGAGACTTCTCTCTCACTCCTGATGCTTCCTTCCGACCTGGGGTGTGTCATTCCTGGCCTCTCTACAGCCCTTAGATGCTTTTCTCTCCAGGAAAGGGACTGGACCACTTTGGTCAGAGGATTTTGTAAATAATATAAATCAGGCCCGGTGAGCTCAGATTTTCCATCTTTCCCTTTTGGGAGTCTCTCTGCCTGCCCCGTGATGGAAGGTTTATCTGGCTGGTGCCACCATTGCCTAAGAATTGGGAGGTTATGTTAGCTTAATTCTAGTAGGTCTGTTTTGCTTTTACACTTAGGTGCATCCTCAGTTCAGCCTTGGCAGTATTAAGGTGATATTTTGGCATCCGTATGCCATGGCTTGGACTTCTCAATTTGTTCAGAATCTGTGTGGAGAGGGGGCTGCCTCAGTGAGGCTTCGTCCTAGAGATGACGGCCTACAGTGAACGGCTCTTCCAGGACAGTCAGTTGCTCCTTGCTTGTCTTTAGAAGCAAATGGGGACAACAGGTTAAAAATAAAAAGTGGAGCAAAGATGCATTGGGTAAATGGAAACAAAAATTAAACAGTAATGGCAATATAAATATCAGACTAATTAGAACAAAAGGCAAAAAGAGAACAAAAAGGAGGGTGTTTGTAATTATTTCAGATCCATAATGAAAATAAAGTAGCCATGAAGCTGTGCGATGAGAACAAGCAAGAGCCATTGGGGACAATCTGCTAGGGAAGTAATCTGAAAAACCTCTCAATTAAAAAATACTATGTAAAATATAATGAATGTCTTCAAATGAGCTCTGAAGGAAGTAAGGGAAATTCACACTGGCTAAAATCAGAGGAGTCTGTTTATGAGCTTATGTAA